CCCCGCGCCGGCTAAGAATTGTTTTCTTGAGCCAGCCTGTGGCCTGGCAGTTAAAGGGTTTGGTCTCACGTGACTGACCGTGAAGTTTGAGTCTCAGACCTGGTGATTTGAGAAATGCATGCTGTGTGTGTGTGTGTGTGTGTGTGTGTGTGTGTGTATGTGCCCAAAATCCCAAAAGGAGGGAGAGATGGAAGAGAAGGGGTCACGACATGTCTGTTCCTCTTGGGAGGTGCCTTTTTACTTTCCCTCTCTTTGTGTTGCTCTGTGTCTCTCTTGTGAGTGCATGTGCCCTCTGGCAAATTAAAAAAAAATGTTTTTTAAAAAATTTTATTTATAAAATTATTTATTTACTGATCTATTTATTTGTTATGATCTTCAAACCACTGGTCCAGGACTTGAACCATGGTTGGCCTTGTGGGAATTCAGCACCAACCACCCCACCACCTGCTGGCCCCATGTTTTCTTTATTTACGATAGAACCTGTGTGTGTACACGCGCGAGAGAGGAGTGCCTTCCACAGGGTCTGGTCACTCTGTGACTCCCTCCTCCCGGCCTCCAGCGCGTTAGATCTCAGGTACTCATGCACGTGCCCAGCATGTTTTAGGCTGACAGGGCTGAGAAACTGAATTGTGGTTGCCACGTGGGTTCTGGCTTCTCCTGAGCAGCACATTGCCACTGTGCCAGGGAACTGACCCCTGTTCATTGGTTCGTTTTAAGGTTTCCCTACTTTATGAGACACAGCGGTATCCTTGACAGGGACTTGTCACTGTGATTGCCTTCCTCTAGCCCTCTAGCTTGTTAGGGTCTTGGGCACCCATGTGTGTGTCTGGCATATTCAGTTGACCCGGCCAGAAATCTGAACCCGCGGTCAGCCATATGGCTTTCAGCACTAGTTCGATACAGTAATGACGGCACCTCCAGGCGGGGCCTTAAGTCCAGCCGTATGCACCACACCATCACGTCGGGCTGTGGGCTGTGGGCTGTGGGCTCTGGGCTGCGTGCTGTGGGCTCTGGGCTGGTTCAGGCAGAATCGCACAGAGCATCAACTGCCAGGCAGCAGGTGGGAGGTGCCTTAAAGTCACAGCAGGGAGCCTCCCTCCTATCTACACATACATCCTCCTTCAGACAACCAAACCCCAACCAAAACCCCTTACCACTCACTCACCTGCCACACACACTATCAAATCATGAGTTATAGAAGACTGTTGCTGCCCCATAGGATAGAAACATTACAGATGACTTTTCTGGTCCATCTGTCCCCGATATGGAGCAGCCCTTCATTGTTCTCCTTACTGTATAAAATTTTCTAAGTGAAAACACTCAAGGGTGACTCTCGGGTCATGCCAGGCCCTTGTGTCTTCAGTGAGAACAGGCCAGTGGTATTGGTTGATATGTGGGAATTTGGAGTTGTTCAGAGGCCCAGAGTGCATGTGTATGTGTGTTTGCACATGTGTGTGCCTGCAGGCACACATGCAGGAATGGTCTCAGACGCTGTGCAGTTGGGGTTGCCTCCTCCTGTGGTTTCTGAGAATTCACTTCGTGTGCCTCTGTCTCCTCATCTGTAAAGTGGGACCGAGAGCAACCGCTTTCCAACACGCAGTGTGAGGCCGATGGGTTGATCCTGGTTGAACCATCATGGCTGTTCTGGACTGGGGAGCTTGTCCCCAAAGGGAACCATGTTCTCTTCGTACACAGGTTTTTCTTTTATTCTGTCATGGAATGTTTAAGCCTACAGAAAGGTGAGAACAGTCTTAGGCAAGTGCCATGTCCTACAAGTGACCCCTCTCTGTCACCTGCAGCCCCCTCACACACCTCCATGGCATATTGCAGCTTCACTCAGATGGGATGCCTGCCTCAAAGGGGTCTTCAGAAAAGAATTTTTTTTTAACGTGTCTATCTTGGGGGTTGGCACAGAGTTCTCATGCTGTTAACTGCCTCAGCCTCGGCCAGCCAGTATCATGGGTATCTGTGCCTGGTATGTACAAGGAGACACCAAGACTTGAACCCAGGACCTTTTCAGGTAGCCTCTGCATTTTGGAGTGCCACATAACAGCTGCGCCATCTTGGCTGGCCTCAAATGAGACTTAAACTTTTTTTTTTCTTATTTATTGGCTCATCAGAAAAGTCATAACATTTTTTCTAGACACAATGAGTCACAACTTTCCTGATGACATGGTATGATAGGGTGTGTGCACACATATGTGAGAGTGGTGAACACAGAGACAGAGAGAATGGAGAGAGTGGGACTCTCCACAGGCCCCGGTCACACTGCAGTCCCCTTCCTCTAGTCCTGCAGCCCATCAGGTCCTGCGCACACATGTGTGCACCCGGTGTGTTCCAGGCTGCCCGGGCCAGGGACTCGAACCATGATCTTCATTTGCAACTGGCTTCGCTTGAGCAGTGCATTATCGCTGTGCCTCAGAGCTAGCCTGTGGGCGTCTTATCAACCCCGTGTTTTTGTGAATCGTTTTCTGGAGTATGTAGAGAGGAGTATGGGGCTGTGACTTGATATTTGACATCACGGGTGACTAAGTCGAGATTTATAACGAGGAACAGAAACTCCATCAAACTGGCTTAAACAGGAAGGGTGCTTTTGGGTTATTTTGAAATAATTTTAGATTTCTGAAAAATTGCAAAAATAGCCTGGAGTTTTCCCGTATACTCCACCTGGTTCCCCTTTATTGACCACAGGGCAATGATGGGAACCGGGAAAGTAACAGTGCTAATTAATAGACTGTTAATGAGCTGTGCTAACATGTTGCCAGTCACCCCGCTGATGTGCTTTGGTCCAAGATCCTGCGCACAGTGAGAGGGCATGTCCCCTTCTTCTCCAGCCTGGGGCCACCCTCGGTGTTTCCGTCTCTCATGACCTTGTTGCTCTTGAACTCAGGAAAGGCATCTTGTGGAGCGTCCCTCCACTTGTGTCCCCTGATGTTTTCAGGATTAGATTGAGGATTTGTCAAAAGTGACATTGTGTCTTCAGTGTGTCCCATTGTGCTGCTGCATCTCAGCAGGTGACGTTCACTTCAATGGCCCAGAGAAGGCAGTGTCTGCAGGGTTCTTCTTGAGATGGTACCTGTGTTTCTTTCAGAGGAGCAGGGCAGAGGGGCGCGTTGGGAAATTGGAGAGCAGGTGTACAGAGGAGCCCAGGCCAGGACCTGCAGCACCTGCTCACTCCCCATTGTCCCTTTCCCTGCATGCACTCGCCAGAAAGAGGGAGAGAAACAGAGAGACAGGAAGTGAGAAATCACCCCCCAGGGGAGATGGCCTCACTGCAATCCCTTCTCCTCCATTCTCCTCTCAGGATCTTGGGCACGCACGCACATGCGCCTGGTATGAGTGTAAACCACCAGGTCCAGGACTCGAACTGTGGTCGACTATGTGGAAGTCCAGCGACATAGCCATTACTCCAACTGCTGGTCCCTGCATTGTGAGCTCTTAAAGCGACTATAAAACCATTTCTTGGCTTAACTGTGGTGGCACACGCAACTGCTGGTGCTCCACAGACTGGGGCCACAGAAGAGGCCTGGGTTTGAGTCCTGGTCCAACCTGAAGAAGGGGCATGGTGGTGTGTACCTATAGTCCTGGTTGGGAGGCCGAAACAGGAGGACTGTGACACCAAGAACCCATAAGGGGAAAATAAAAAAGGCCTACTTTTATTTCTTGCCCTTTTTTTTTTTTAACTCTGCACTAGTATATAAGTAGTGTTTCTGTTTGTTATCTTAGGTATATACCAGTGCACATAAACACACACACACACAGTTTAGCTCCCAAAACGTAAATGTACTACCGATCAAAACTCTGAAAAAAAATGAAAGCATCGTGGTGACTGAGCGAGACAAGGAAACTGTTCCCCCCTCATTACTTTGGTAAAAGTGTAGTGGCATCTTATGTAATCTGTGTTCTTCCTTTTATTCATTTACTGGCTTTATGCCGTGTCAGTAAAGCATGACTTGTCTTGATTTGGATTATCCGTATTTTTCCAGGAACACTAAGTTTCTTTTTATGTTCCGGGTTTGCACCTTCACCCTCGGGAGTAGGGTCTGTCCTGGTGCCGACGTTAGTGAAACAGCACAGCAAGCATCACCCCCTGAGCCGAGATTCTCCTGGCGGCTATGTCTTAGGCATAAGAGAGGGTGGGCTGGTTTCCTTATCACGTGTCTTTGCCCACAGACAACGACCCTGGAACAAGCTATTAAAAACGCCCATGAGTGTTATGACGACGAGATTCAGCTTTATAATGACCAGATCGAGACCCTGCGCAAGGAGATTGAGGAGACGGAGCGGGTCCTGGAGAAGTCTTCCTACGACTGCCGGCAGCTGGCTGTGGCCCAGCAAACCCTGAAGAACGAGCTGGATCGGTATCACCGGATCATCGAGATCGAAGGCAACAGGTGTGGTCATGTCAGGCGCTGTGCGTTCATCTCCTCATCCCGGGCACTTGCTCACTCCCCAGATCTCTGTCGAGTGCCCATGCTGTGCCCGGCACAGTTCTCTCAGTGGTAATGGTGCCGGGAATGGAACAGAAAACCCCTGACCTCATGGAACGGGGATACTTGCTGGGGAGACAGATGAAGAGTGAATTGTTTGTTGGTTTGTTCATTTTTCAGAAAGAGTTTTTCTGTAGGGTGCGTGCACTCACTGGAGAAACAGAAGGAGACAGAGAGATAGAAGGTGAGAAATCAGCCCCAAAGGGGGATGGCCATGCCACAGTCCCTTCTTGCCTATTCTCCTCTTGGGATCTTGAGCATGCACGCACATGTACTTGGCGTGAGTTTTAAACTGCTGGATCCAGGACTCGAACTGTGGTCGGCTATGTGGGAGTCCAGCATTGTAACCATTATGTCACCTGCTGGTCTCGATGATGAGTGAATTTGTCCCAGAGGGAGTAGGATTTATGACAGGTGCCATGGAGAAAGTTAAGGCAGGGAAGGACGGACAGGGATGACGAGGGCGATGATGGGGGAATGCTTGAGATTTAAGTAGGGAGACGTTGTGCCCACAGGTCTCGTCTCTGGAGACACAGATGTCCTAGCAGGTGGGATGACGAGCATGAAATAAATGAGACGCTGCAGGCCAGGAGCCTAGTGCCCTTGGCACGTGCTGAGCTCTGAAAGGCATTGGTGTTGTCACTGCTGCTTGATGATTATGGCCACCCAGTTGGGTGTGTGTGACAGTCAGTGTGGTCAGCATGTGGTCTGGTCTGCTCCATGTGCGGCCGTGACTGAGCTAGGAGATTCCCATGGTCTGTCCCAATCTCTCCATTCCATCTCTGCCGCTGTCTGTACATGGACGTGGACAGTGATATCCATTGCTGTGTTGAAATCTATATCCGCATCTACAGGAACAATAGCTTTCAGAGAGCAAGCTGGATATCTGGTCATGATCTCCAGGTTGATCCTGCCATTGTTCTGGGTTTAGACTGAGCTAAAGAGAAGCCTCCCCGAATCTCCATGAGGAGACATTCTTCCGTCTGCTCTCCCTTGGCTGTAAGTGCTCGAACGCCCAGTAGAAAGAGCGAGGTGTTCTTTCTCTAGTTATGGTCAGCGAGTCCCCCATAGTCTGTATCTATTTACCTTTCTGTGAATGCTTCCTGAGCACATGTATGACAATAAGTGTCCAACTGGCATTTCAAAGTCCTTGTGCGAATTTTTGTTCTGGGGGCAGGGCGTTGCAATAAGCTAACAGGCGCCCCTTTTGTTTGTTTGTTTATAACTTCTCATTGTGACGTAGTTTCAAACCGATAGAAACATTACAAGGATGGAACAAGGGACTCCAGTGGCTCTTGATCCAGATTCTCCGGCTGTTTACATTTAGCCTCTGTCATTTTTCTCTCTGTTTATATAGGATACGGCCTGTTCAAACACATGTTGGAGGTGACATACCCAGTTTGCCCTGAATACTTCAGTCTGGGCTGGCCCCTGTTTTATTAAAAAACAAAAACAACCACGCAAAACAGAAACCTTGTCCACCAGAGAACTGGTGCTTAGAGATAAGAAATCCCCCCTTGATCATCCTTCATTTCACGGCCTATGACCTGAGTCCAAAGAAATGATTTCCTTTGCATCCTCGTTCAGTGTATAAATGTATGTTGGCTAGTTGTTTACAATTGTCTGTAATTCACGAACTCTTTTATCTAGAGAAGCATTTTTCACTTTCGTTCCACATTAGAGAGTGGCTCTTGCCCCCGCCACCTGTTCGCCTTGATGAATAAAAGATGGCGGCCGTCTTTCTGGTTCTCTCTGCAGGCTGAGCTCTGCCTTCATGGAGACGCCCATCACCCTGCTCACCCCCAGCCATGGATCCTCCCTCAGCCCTGCGTCTGGTGGGAAAGGTAACACATCCTGTCTGTTTTTTTTACTTTTCTGTCTTGTAAAAAATGGAAAAAATTGGGGCTGGCTGGTGGCATGATGGTTAAGGGCACTGGACTCCCACATGGCTGACAGCGGTTTGAGTCCTGGGCCTAGCAACTTGCTTTCTTACTTTCCCTTTCAGTCTCTCTCACTCTGTCTTTCCCTGGTCAAATTAAAAAACCAAAAAGTTAAATAAAATAATTCTTTTTTTAAAAATGGAAAAACTAAGTGATACTTTTCCTGACTTTAAAATTTATACTCTCTTCCTACACATCTGGAAATTGATGCATTTATGTGAGAGGATTCTCATTCTGTCGCTCTCTGATGCACTCTCTCAGGTACTGACAAAACCAGGTAGTTTATAAGGAGAAAAATTGACCGGGAGGCGGGGATGGGCTACCTGAAGAACATTCTCTCTGAATGAGAGGAATTTAATTGGGAGGAAAATACAATATAGAGCCAGCTGGTGGTTAAGGCAGTTGGAGCCCTCAGGGCCGACTGTGTGGTTTGAGTCCTGGACTCGGCAGCTTGAGAAATATTCCAGGCGCGTGTGCATGTGTGCCCAAATTCCTGAGAGGAGAATGGAGGAGAAGGGATTGTGGCGTGGCCACCCTCCTGGGGAGGTGCTTTCTCGCTTCCCTCCCCTCACTCTCTCTCTCTCTGGTAGTAAATTTAAAAAAAGAAAGGAAAATACAATTCAGTGTTCACTTCCTATTTCTTCACTTTGGGAAAAACTGACTGCTCACTTATGTTCCCCCCAAATGAAATAAACTAGTCTGTGCACAGGTGTGCCGCGGGGTCTGCTCTGAGCACATGTGCCTTCTTGTCCAGTCCTCCTTTGAAACCAAGCAGGAACAGCTGGCTTGGCAAATACGGCTTCTGCCTTCCACACTTGGTCTTCTTCTCCCCACCTTTAAATATCCGTTTCGTTTACTTAGAGAGAGACAGAGACAGACAGACAGACAGATGCAGACACCTCAGTTGGGGATTTGCCACACTGCTCCTTCCCCAGCCTCCCAGCCAGCGAGGATCAGATAGTGTGTGCTTCAGACAGTTCAGGGGTCAGGCCCACCTAAGATCCAAACCCAGGCTCTGGCACCCTACTGCCTGCACCTGTACCACCACAGCCAGGCCCAATGTCTGGGTTTTGTTTTTATTTTTTAATTTGCTCCAGGGCATGTGTACTCCCTGGAGAGAGAGAGGGAGAGAGAAAGAGAAAACATCCCCTAGGGGGATGCCCAGACTGCAATCCCTTCTCTTCCATTCTCCTCTTGGGATTTTACCTTTAAATATCCGTTTCGTTTACTTAGAGAGAGACAGAGACAGACAGACAGACAGATGCAGACACCTCAGTTGGGGATTTGCCACACTGCTCCTTCCCCAGCCTCCCAGCCAGCGAGGATCAGATAGTGTGTGCTTCAGACAGTTCAGGGGTCAGGCCCACCTAAGATCCAAACCCAGGCTCTGGCACCCTACTGCCTGCACCTGTACCACCACAGCCAGGCCCAATGTCTGGGTTTTGTTTTTATTTTTTAATTTGCTCCAGGGCATGTGTACTCCCTGGAGAGAGAGAGGGAGAGAGAAAGAGAAAACATCCCCTAGGGGGATGCCCAGACTGCAATCCCTTCTCTTCCATTCTCCTCTTGGGATTTTAGGCACACATGCACACTCACCTGGTGTGTTTCTCAAGCCGCTGGGCCTGGGATTCGAACCATGTGGTTGGCTATGTAGGATCCATTCCTTACCACCCTGCCACCAGCTGACCTCATCTGGGATTTTTGGAATGGTTAACACATAGGTAAGGGATCACCTGACATCTAAATCTGGTTCTAAACAAACACAGCGTTTGGGAAGAAAAGAGAAGACGGGAATGTTGATGCTTGTGTGATCAGGGCCTTTAAACCCACATGTCCCCGACAGAGCAGAGGGTTTTGTGGAAATGGGCTCCAGAGTCGGAACATCATTGCAAGGACAGCCGTCTAGCTGCCAGGCTCCCAGCGCCGGCTCCCCGGGCAGCTTCCTAGGAATGTGGCCTCTGCACAGGGCCCTGGACTCAGAAGAGCCCATGCTGGACTTAATGCTATCCTGAAAATTTTATCTATTTAAATATATATTTTTAAATAAAAAATAATTTAGAAATTTTAGTATTTATTTATTTCTTTATTTTGGAGAGATTTTCGCCATAGGGTACATGCGCTCACCGGACAGACAGAGAGAGACATAGAGACAGAAAGCGAGAAATCACCCCCCAGGGGGGATGGTCACGCCTCAATCCCTTCTCCTCCACTCTCCTCTTGGGATCTTGGGCATGCACGCACACGCACCCAGTGTGAATTTTAAGCCACCGGGTCCAGGACGCGAACCGTGGTCGACTACGTGGGAGTCCAGCGACATAGCCATTATGCTAACTGCTGGTTCCCAGTATTTATTTACTTTTATATTTATATATTTTAAAGGTAGAATCATGTTGGGATTCTCCTGCCTCAGGCATACACTACCATGCCTGACTCCTTTTTTTTTTTGGAGAGGTTTTTGCTATAGGGCGCATGCACTTGCCAGAAAGACAGAGAGAGACAGAGAGACAGAAAGTGAGAAATCACCCCCCAGGGGGGGATGGCCACGCCACAATCCCTTCTCCATTCTCCTCTCGGGATCTTGGGCACGCACTCACACACACACGTGCCCGGTGTGAGTTTAAGCCGCCGGGTCCAGGACTCGAACTGCAGTCGACTACATGGGAGTTCAGTGACATAGCCATTATACTAACTGCTGGTCTCCATGCCTGACTCCTTTTGAAACAGGATCTAGCTATGTGCCCCGGCCAGCCTGGAGGTTATGATGCTCCTGCCTCAGTGCCCTGAGTCGCTGGAATTACATGCACACACCACTGCACTGCCTTTTAGGTTGGACTGGGACTCAAACTGGGGCCTGACATGTGATCCTAGCCTGCTGAGCACAGCCTCCCAGCAGTGTGAGCCACCACTACAGGGTCTGTCCTGACATTCTTAATTATTTTGAACAAAGGATATTGCATTTTCTATTTGCACCGAGCCCTGTTACATGCACACACCACTGCACTGCCTTTTAGGTTGGACTGGGACTCAAACTGGGGCCTGACATGTGATCCTAGCCTGCTGAGCACAGCCTCCCAGCAGTGTGAGCCACCACTACAGTGGATATTGCATTTTCTATTTGCATCGAGCCCTGAAATTCTGCTGCTGATCCTGTGAGCACCCCTCCTCACTTACTGGGTCCCAGAAACTTTTCCTTTGACATGTCCCTCTGCGTCCCCTCCTCCCTATGGCTTCATGACCAGCTATGGTCAGAGCTCACTCTGCTCCCTCTCCGTTGCGAGGCAGCCTGGCCTGGATGCTGGTGTCTGCTTAGTCCTGTGGTTGCTGGAAGGGACTGTGAAAAAACTGGGGTGAAAAAGTTCATTCACTGTGTGAGTGGAGCTGGAAAGCCTCCTAAGTTACATGCAAGGTGACATTTTTATGTTTTCTTCACCTTCTAGTTTTCCCTTTTGCTAGTCTGAGGAAATGAGTGTAGCCTTAGGAATGGGGATTCTTGTCATTTGGATTTCGTAGCACCACTTCCTCTTTGGGTGCAGGAGGAAGGAGATTCTGTCCAAAGAGTGGTCACATTTTGCTGAGATGAAAGTGAGCAGAGGAGAAACACCGTGGGTGAATCCATCCCCGAGCCTGACGCTATCTGAACATGTCAGAGGCCCCAGGAGCTTTGCCGTCCCTCCTGTGAGGGAGTCAGAGGCGAGAACAGCCTTGTTGACTGGGTCCCCATTGCCCATGGTGGGAGTGCATCACCGTCTGGGTGAACTGAGCACCCTTGGGTATTGGAGTCTTTGTTGCCATCAGACTGTTCTCAACGAGCAGGCGTTTCTGGGCAAATGTCTTCACAGAGTCGCCCTGGGACCGTTTTTGTCATCGAGCATATTTTCATGAAAACAGCCCCTCATGGTCTCCGCTGCTTGGTTTAGTCAGGGTTTAACGCATATTGAACAGGTGAATTCGCTTTAGGCCCAGCCTGCTGGCATGGTTCATAGCCCAGGCACTGCAGTGCTGGAAGCCGTGTGGCTGACCATGGACTTGGGTGTCCAGGTTGGTCTGAAAATATGCCAGACATGTGGGTGCCCAAGATCCTGAGGAGCTGGGGAGCTGGGAAAGGGGACTGTGGTGTGACGAGCCCCTGCGGAGGGTGCTGTGTCTTTCTCTCCCTCTCACGTGCACACACTCGCTCTCTATCACAACAGGAGACTCTACTTTGATTCTGATGACATTCACAGGGCTCAAAAGAGGGCTGTCGTTGGGACAGGGCTGTCTTCCCCACAAGTGTCATGCAAGGAGAAGGCTGTCTGGGAGTTCTGCCAGTGTGGTGAGCTGTGAGTGCAGGAAAACAACACCTCCCTTTTCTTCCCCTCCGTGTGCTCAGAGGAATCCAGCTACTTTTCCAATGTCATGCATCTTGATGGCAGAGCTGAGGCCTCAGCATGGACCATGGAGCCACAGACCCAGGGTGTTTCCCCATTGGTTTGTTTGCCTAGGCCCGGGGAACCCCACCTCAGTGCCCGACATTTGTCTCCAACACAGCGTAGTTTTCCATGATGACATTTTCTTTCCCGTTCATTAACAGTTATGCTTGACCTACTGTCTGTGCGTGTTTTCAGATCTCACCAGGGCTGTGCAGGATATCACGACAGCAAAACCAAGGCAAAAAGGGCTCCCCAGAAACGTCCCAAGGAGAAAGGAGATTATAGCTAAAGACAAAGTAGAAGAAACTCCGGAAGACACACCGTTAAAAGATCCGGAGGATGCCAAGCCGGTGCAGGTGATACTTAAAGAGGAAGGCGAATCCAAGCTGGAATCATGGGGTGAAGAAACTAGTGTCCCGACACAAGAGGGGGCCCCAGAGGATGTGCCTGATGGAGGGCAGATAAGCAAAGCCTTTGGGAAACTCGCCAAAATGGTCAAGGAGAAACTGAGAAGCCCCAAAGAGCCCGAGCCCCCTGCTGAGCTCTACACCAAGGGGCGGTACGTGCTGGTCACAGGGGACGCCAGTTACGTGGACCCAGGGTTCTGCTCTGCCTCCATCCCGGCCAAAGGTGGGGTAGTGGTTTCCATCGAGGAAGACTCCGTGCAGCGTGATGGCCATGCAGAGCCCTCTCCTGAGCAGCCCAAGCCCCCTGTGGACATTGGACAAGGGGATTCCCAGGGGAAAGAAGATGAACCCCCCAACAGCCAGAAGACGACGGACAAGGAGGATGAGAAGAACACCGAAGAACAGAAAGGCTCTGAGGAGAAACATGATGGCCAGAAGGAGGGAGAAGGGTCCAGGAAACCCTGTCCCACAGTTACCCCTGGTGCAGAGGGATCGTCTACACCCCAATCTCAGAAACCGGCCGCCAATCAGGATGGATCCGAGGGGCACGGGACTAGGAGCAGCAGCCCGCTAGAAAAAACCCCTCCCAGAGCCTTGGCTTACAAGAAGGAGGTGGTGGAATCCATTGAGAAGATTTCAACCGAGAGTATTGAGACGTATGAGGAAACCTCTGTGATAGTGGAGACCGTGATTGGCAAGACAAAGGCAAACAAGAAATTGGGGGAGAAGGGTTCTTAAATGCCCAGGCCTGATGAGAAAAATGTCTTAGGGGTCATGTAGGGGACATGCATTGATATTTTAGAGCATATGATAAGAGGGTGAAGTTCCTGTTTGGATTAGACCGTAGTTGGCCTGTCTGGCATTGCCAGTGAAGCCTTCATTAAAACGTTTTCTTTGCTTGCACGTCCTTCGTCTAATGAATAAGGGGGCCTCGGGACTGTACTGGGTCAGCCTCTTTCAGGACAAGGATGCTCCGTGAAGTGCCCACCCAACCATTCTCATTTAGGAAAGAGACATGCTCTTTATCATGGTTTATGTAGACTCATTAGAGACCCGGACAGTGTCTGCATTTCTCACCAGAAAGTATTGGTTGAGGACATAGGCTCCTTTTCATTCCCTCTCAAGCACAAGTGTATGCTCATGCGGATGAGCGTTTTGCTAGAGATCAAATGATTAAAGATGGGACCAGCAGATGGCGTAGTGGTTATGTTACTGGACTCCCACATAGTTGAACACAGTTTGAGTCCTGGACCTGGTGACTTAAAACTCATGCCGGGAGCATGTGTGTGCAGGCTCAAAAATCCTGTGAGGAAAATGGAGGAGAAGGGATTGTGGCGTGGCCATTTCCCCTTGGGGGTGATTTCTTTCTGTCTCTTTGGCAAGTGCACACACTCTGTAGCAAATATCTCTCTAAAAAAATGATCAAAGGTATCTGTCTTAGTTTGGGATCCCACAGAAGCTGATCCTGAAGCAAAGTTTGAATGTAAAAACTTATATTGAATAAATTCCTCAGGGGAACAGTAAGGAAGTGGAGAGGGAGACCTGGAAGGCCAGGCAACCACTGAGGGGTGAGGGAGCTGTGATTTTTTCTTTTAATTTTATTTCTTTAGGGCACGTGCACTCACCAGAGAGAAAGAGATAGAGAGCGAGAGGGAAAGTGAGAAAGCACCCTCCAGGGAGGACGGCCATGCCATAATCTGTTCTCCATTCTCCTCTTGGGATTTTGGGCATGCATGCACACATGCCCAGTGTGATTTTTCAAGCCACCAGATATGGGACTTGAACCACAGTCAGCCATGTTCCTACACCTTAACTATCTGCTGGCCCCCATTGATGCTTTTCAAGTCACCAGGTCCAGGATGCAAGCTGTAAAGTTGTTCATGTGGGAGATCCAGTGCTTTAACCTCCATGGCTCCTGGTGGCCCAGGGAGGCAGAATAAGAAGCCACTACCTCCGGTTCATCAGTTTGGAGAGTGCTCAGGGGGTTAAGTTTGGGGGCCAAGAAAGCCCTCAGGCAAAGAGGTGCGTGTACCGACACTGGAAGCCGGGCCTGGAAATACACGGAAACAGTAAGAGTCGTGGGAATGTAGGCAGGTCACCAATGCCATCAGCCACAGTGTGTGTACCAATTGTACCTGTTTTTTTAGAGAAAGATTTTTGCTATAGGATGTGTGTGCTCACTGGAGAGCCAGAGAGACAGAAAGTGAGAAACCAAACGCCACAATCTCTTCTCCATTTTCCTTTTGGGATCATGGACATGCACGCACATGCGCCGGCATGATATTTAAGCCATTGGGTCTGGGACTTGAACAGCTGTCAGCCATGTAAGAGTCCCATGACGTAACCATTATACTATCTGCCCGTGCCCCAAATGCCCTTTTCTATGGGCCTCTTAACATTTTCTCACTCAGCGATGGCAATCCTCAGTTAGGTTTCAAGAAGCAAACTCAAATGTTACTGTATGAAGTTCATTGTTTAGAAGTTCATTAGCTCAGCAAGCATTTTATTGAGAATATGCTGTGTGCCAGACAGTGCTATGCTGATAAGGGGGGACTTTTCAGATTTTTAAAATGACCTCAGTTATCTCAGTACTTACATGAGTGTGCATGCTCTCTTGTGCACACGTGCACGCACACACGTACTTACTGTGCCAGATGCCAAGAAATAGAAATGATTCTAAACCAGAGTTTTACAAAAAGTTTATGTTGCTCAAATACATCAATATTTCTACTAATCGTCAAAAAGTAAGTTTTTACTCATACCAGTGGAAAAAATCACTCTGTCCTGGGCCATTTGGTGGCATGGTGGTTAAGGCAGCTTGGTCCCACATGGCTGACTGTACAGATCAAGTCCCAGACCTGGTGGCTTGAAAAACACACTGTGTGGGCATGTGTGTGTGCGTGCTCAAAATCCCAAGAGGAGAATGGCCGTTCTCCCTCCCCCAAGAGGTGCTTGCTCCCTTTCTCCTTCCAGCAAGTACTCATGCCCTTTAACAAACAAACAAACAAACACACAAAAACAAAACAGGGACCAGCAGATGGCATAATAGCTACATCGCTGGACTCCCATGTAGTTAACTGCGGTTCAAATCGCAGACCGGTTGGCTTAAACTCACGCCAGGCGCATGTGTGTACGTGCCCAAGATCCCGAGAGGAGAACGGAGGAGAAGGGATTGTGGCATGGCCATCCCCCCTGGGGGGTGATTTCTCGCTTCTTTCTCTCTGTCTCTCTCTTTCTGGGGAGTGCACATGCCCTATAGCAAAAACCTCTCCAAAAAAAAAAAAAAGGAAGAAAAGAAACTAAAAACCAAACAACAACAAAAAATTTCTTCCCCATTGCTCCACAATACATTAAGGATACCAAGTGAATGTGTTTAAATGGATTATTGCATTGGCCTAAAAAAAAAGCACCTGGCATGCCAAGACAACTGTACATTAGAGAAAATTCATAGTCACTAATTACATTCTAGTGTATATTTCTTTGTTATGAATAACAGAATACTGAATAGGGTCTCCCTTCCTATTTAGAGCTTTAAAACAATCTCATTTTGAATTCATCTGAAGTTTTGGCTTTTAAGAAAGAAATAGGCTTTTGTGTTTCTTTCTGAAAGATGAATGGAGGACCCACTCCACTGCAATATTGAAATATTTATTACTTAAAACCTTAAGTGCGAAAAGACCAGCAGGTGGTCTAGTGGTTAAAGGTGGTGGACTCCCACATGGCCAACCACAGTTTGAGTTCCAGACCTGGTGGCTTGAGAAATCACACTGGGTGCACGGGGCTGCATGCCAAAATTCCCAGGAGAAGAGTGGAGGAGAAGGGATCGTGGCATGACTATCCCCCAGGGTGGGATTTCACACTTCCCCTCTCACTGTCTCTCTCCTGTGAGTGCACGTGCCTTATGGCAAAAACCTTAAGGGAAAATAAAAAAGCTTAAGAGAGCAGGAGGGAACGCCTTAGCTGGAGCTTGGACGTGCTTGACGCCCACGTAATGCTACGTTCCATGTGCACAGCCGCAGCCCACATTTTCTTTTGTCCTTTAAGTCTTTTTTACTTTTTGGACTCTGATTTCAGTTAAAATTCTTTTAAAGGGCAGGGGTATCATTTTGGAAATAGAGTCAGGCATAATGGATTGGGAGTCTGTTCTGTGCCAGGCGTGGTGATGGCACGGGGGAGAGTGGAGAAGTCAGACCTGGCCTTGCATAGAGACGAGACGTTCTAGTGGAAAAGGAAGGAAACATGAACAAGCAGACAGCGAAACAAGAGGAGATTACATAGAGACAGGACTGGGACAGAAGTCCAAGAGGGTGACATGCCACAGTGATGAGGGGAGGGCGGGGGAGAGGTCTACTTTAGATTAGATGGTCATCGGGAGACTTCATGGAGGAGGTGACATGTGATCTGAATGACAGAATGAGGCATTCTGTGCAGGTCTGTTGGGAGAACATTTGCAGCAAGTGCAAAGGCCCTGGGGGCAGGAATGGGCTTGCCATATTCAAAGGGGAAGGTGGACAATGGAAGGAGGTGAGGCCCAGGTAGGGGGCAGGTAAGCACTATTATCTGTCAGGCTCACCTCAGTCTGAAGGCTGGGCCCATGATGTGAAATGTGGGGCTTGATGCAGTGGCTACTTTGGGGCCTGACTGGGCTCTGTGTCCTCTTGAAGGTTCTAGGAATCTGCCCCAGCTCGGTCTTGCTTTCTTCTAGGGATCTATAGAATCAGTTTAGATTCTGGGTTTTTCTTTCCTCAAGGTCTCTGAAAGCAAGCACAAACTGTTCATGTTATAAAAAGCATTTCTTCATTTTTTAAAAAAGAATTACTTTATTTAACTATTTATTATTATTATTTCTTAATTTAACCAGAAAGATTGCGAGAGAGGGGGAAGGAAAGTGAAAAAGCAAGCCACCAGGTCCAGGACTCAAACCACGGTCGGCCATGTGGGATTCCAGAGCCCTTGACTACCACACCACCTGCTGGCCTCAAGTGTTTATATTTTTTTAAAGTTTCTTTTTGAGAGAGAGACAGATATCTTTGGCAGTCTTCCAGCTCAGTACACCTCCATCCAGCTCCTGCTGCCCTGATCACGAGCATGTGCATGCCTGGGGTATTCAGGGAGGTCTCTGGAAGCACACTGAGAACCCTCCCATGTGGGTCAGCCTTGCAGGGCATTGCATCACCACTGTGCACTATCCGGCCTCCAAAGCGTTCCACATCAGTAAACACGGAGCTCAGAGCATGCCTCCAAAGAGCATTGATGATAGGCTCTCTGTCTCTTTCCTGACGTAGCCTACAAGTCTAGCATAGGAACTAGACCCTCCCAACGCTGCTTCTTCCATAAGGAAGCAATATTGCAGCCCCTGCGTCCCAAACAGTCAAGTTGGTGCCCACAATCGAGTCGCTCGGATCTGTTCTGGTTCATGTTTATACTCTGAGGCTTCTCACTGTAAGCACATGCAACTCTGCCTTAGGTTTCCAGTGGCCTTAGGAGCATGCTGGGTCCACACGCTAGGCAGATTGAGGGTCCTGGGGAGCTCACACTCCCAGAAGCAGCCCTCAAACAAGGGTGGACAGGACCTGTGGGTAAATACCCCGGCTCTCTCGCTCCTCCTCTGGGTTTGTCCCAGACAACCATGAAGAAATCCAGTCACCAGTGTGCTCTCTATTGGTCCCTTCTCTTCCTGTCTCATGTTCCCACTCCCCTATAAATGACTTGCCCTCCACTCTGTCTCAGTGTCACTGGGAAGACCCAACTAGGACAGCTGCTGCCCTCGCCTGCCCAGAAGCACTCTCATTCCTCAGGCTACACTCCTGATT